CCTAAAAATCTATATGGCAATAAAATTGACTTTCTAATCTACTAATTAAATTTATTTAAAATTTTATCTGTCACGTTCTGATATCTACCCGCTCAAATTTTGAGTCAATATATGTTGGTTCCTTTCATTATACTTACATGTATGCTTTAGACTTAACAATAGTTTCTAAAAACCATTTTCTAGTTATTTTTTATTTTAACATTTTTTAAAATTTATGTTACATTAAATTTTATTTTATTAGCTAATTAATATTAATCATCTCATGATCGTCTCATGCTATACTGAAGTTTATTGATTTTATCTTTTAGATTCTTATGCTTTTTATTCTTTACTTTTAACAAATCCTAATATTCTTTACTCATTTTTTCTAATATTTTTATATATTCTTTATTCTTCTTTTCTAATATTTCCATATGCTCTTTATTCTTTTTTTCTGAAAGTTATAAGAATTGATTAATTACATCTCTCTGAACCTTTGGGTTGTTAGCAAGCAACTTGATTAGATTAACTAAGTTAAAGTTCAAATAGCCATATTTTTATTAAAATTCAATAAATGATATAATGAAATGTTTTATGTAAACAAAAATTTTATATAAATAGAATATAATTAGGTATTCTTGTCTACAAAAATCTTGCAAACTTAAGTATAAGAAATATGACGAAATTCTTTTGATATGATAAAAGCTGAAATTGTTAAAACTATATTAAAAATATAGAAAAAGGTATGAATAAATTATTTTGAAGAGATATCTATAATTTATGCATTTTAAAATACTAAAAATGCAAAATATGCAAATAGAAAATTTTGATTATTATAATATAAAAAATTTAACAATAATATTTAGAAATGTATAAGTAGCCTCTACTATTCTACTTCAAAATACTTCCATAAATATAAATATGAAATTATAATCGATTTGCGAATTTAGTTTACAAATGAAATTATTTTATTAAGCGTTATTTTTCATCATTTAAAAATTCTGTTTTTATATTGAAATACTAATAGAATTCTGAATACATTCTTTCCTATAAATTACAATTATATGAATAATATATAGTTATAATAGAAATATCTCAGAAGCATATTTTTTAAGTGTTATTAAATTTTAATAGCTAATACAATAATTAAAAAATTTTTAAACCAAAAGTTGATATAGCAAAATTTTAAAATTGTTAATGAGCAAGGATTTTTTTCTTTTTATAATAATTTAACTTTATTTTAAATATTTAATTTTAGTATATATTATAAATAGGATCTGTTGAAATATTGTAATTCAAATAATAAAAATGATAAATTATTCAATGTTATACTAAGGTTGCTTGTCTAAACTCATTTTAAATTTAGTAAAATGACTAAACTGTAGTTTTTACTAATTTTTTACTAAGGTTTTGATATAGTTTTACATTTTTATAAACTTTAATATAATTTTATCTTTTTCAGAATTTCGCAGATTTTTTAATAAGGTTTTAATATAATTTTGCTAAATTTTACCTTTTTCTATTTAGACGACTTGCAAAACCTTAGATTTCGTCTAGTAACCTTATATTATACTCTTTCTAAAAATTTTTTAAAGTCTAATAAAAATGCTAATAGTCACATTCTGTCAAAGAATTCTGATAGACTGGTTGACTGACCAGTTAACTGACTGATTTTGATTAATTTTGATCAATCAGTTGACTGACAGACTTGAGATTGAATAATCATATTTTAAATAATAATTAGAATAGTAATTACAGATTATGAATACATAATTACAATCATCATGTTTACATTATTTATTATACTACAGTAATATTATTATTATTATAATATTTAGATACATATATTAGGTAAATGTTATATGAAAAGTAGATTATTTTGTAATAAATTTCGATTTGATTATTTTTAAAATTTTCATTTCTTTTTTTTAATAAAGTTTAATAAAAGTTTAAATTTTGTATTATTAAAATTTAAAGTTATTTTTATAAAAAGCATTATAGAATTATTGGAATATACAGTATACACCGGTAGAATGATGTTCAATCAGATACCCAACCCGATTGAACACTTTTTTAAAAAATTTAAAACTATATGTTCAATAATAATCAAACTGGTTATAATTACAGTTAAGTATCAATAAGGTTAAAACCTGATTAATCATTAATGTTTAATTTAAATTATCTGATTGGTTACTATTGAATTTTAATTACCGATTGGTTTATTTTTGAGTAATAAATTAAATAAATATGATAAACTACTCTAAAGAAACATGTAAAACACAATTGTTTATTTTAATAGTTTGGTATTTGTATGCTACGATTTTTACGAAAAATAATACATATGCTGTAAAAAATTATATTTAACGTCAGGACAGAGAAGGATAAATATTGAAACTGATTGGAAGCTAACTATATATCTATAAGCTAAATTGTCTATTAATGGGTATACGTTTCTGGCTTTCTTTTACCTATTATAAATTTGCTTGTTATAAATCGACTATAAATATTATGAATAGGAATAATACTATCTCTATCAATTTCATAACATTCATTTTTTCAAAGTTCGATATTACAACTATCATTATCATCATTGACTTTACAATAAAATCTCATTTGTTGGTTAGACGCTGGCCGATACCATTTTATGAAAGCCAAATGATGTATCCTTACACTGATTAGAAGTTCAATTGCATGTGTGAAAAAGAATTAGACTTGATCAGAGAATATATCTGTTGATTCATTGTCTTGTATAAATTTAGTCATAACATACAAATTTTTAAATACCTTGGTGTTATCGTTGCTTCAAAGATTTTAGCTCTAATCTGAATGCATCTGTATTGATTCACATGTGGTAATACAATAATAGAGTCTTCTGATACCAATTCATCAGAAACCGCTTCAGCGATCATCACAAACTTTCAATTGTATACATTATTATAATATTAGACCAATATTTTATAAATATCATCTGGTAAAGACATATTATTTTTTCTCAGTGTAATCATTTCTCCAGGGAATTGTTCATTACTGGTGATTGTATCATCGAGATTATAATGGAAGATTTGCATAAATCAGTATAATTCAGCCAAATCAAATCTATCATATGATGCTAAACTCCCAGTTGTTGGCCAAGATTTCACTAATTCAAGCACTTCAGTTAGCTTAGGATTATTCAATTGATTGGAAATTAGATCGTCTAATCTTGAATTTTGTGTAATGATATGTAAAGTTCTGGTTCAATACATCGCTGACTATTTGGAAAAGAACCTAAAGAGAACAAAAAATTAGTAATTAAATATGAATTAAAGTATCGATAACAATCATTATAATTATTTACCTAATAATCCATTTATTCTTTCAAATGAATAACACCAGAAAGAATACAATGATCCATAATCACAGCAACATTCAGCAATATATAAAGACAAATGAATATTTGGAATTATCATCTCCTGCCCATAATGTTTTTTAATTAAAAGAGCTACTTGAAGTAATCGATCGTGAGTTTCACTCAATACATTATTATCAATAATTCGACAAGTAAGTAAAAAGCAAGCTCTTACAAAATTAGCTAAAATCTCTTGATCAGATGTACATAGAAGGTCTCACATTAATAGGGTTGCATAAATAAGAATAAAAGACTTCTATTGATCTATGGTATAATCAGAAAACCCTTTACCAGTAGTGATTTTGTAAGGAATTCTTCCTAAATCAGCTGGAACTTTGATAGATTTTGCTCTTTTTTCCATCAGTTTAAGATCTAATTTGGTAAGCTTACCGCTATCGATCCATAATCTTTTAATAATTTACTGTGCAATTTCAAGGAAAAGATAATGCATTGGATCGATGATAAGATGTCTTATCAGGTTGAAATAGGGTAACCTTAACATTTCTGACCATCTAACAAGTGTTGTAGAAACATATTGTTTCCTTTTATCGTTAGACTTACACCGTTGCCATTCTTTGGCATTCTGTCGATGTTCTTCAAGATTACATTCTTGAAACCAATCAGTCATATTATTGAATCCACCAAAATTATTACTGGTATTTGCTTTTTTATAGCATCTATGGTATACAGATAATACTGATATGTGACCACAAATTTTCTTACTGCTGGTATATCATTAAAATAGCATATTACTACTAATCGAACATTTCTTCTAGTAGAATGATCATATGTGGCTGACAGCTTAATCCCATTTCAGAATTCTAACAGTTTATCAATGATCAGGAAAAGATAATGGTTAATTCTATGCAGTTTAACTTCACTTGGTCCCGATAGTAATCCTAGATATAATATGTTCTCTCATTTAAATCTGACTTCTCAAGGAAGATTACATATTGCTTCATAAATCATGCTGCTACTGTATGCTGATGATTTGAATGGTTAAAACTAATTGATTTTCAGTGTGAAAAATCGAGAATCGCTTGTATCAAGTCATGAAGGGAAATTTTTTCAAATTTCACCATCATAAATATCTGACATCAAGCCAATCCCAGTATCTCAATTTATCCATTTTCTCAGAAGAGATTCAAAACTTGAACGCTGATATATTGCAATTATTTGTGATCTTAAAGATGGTAAGGGAAAGACGATCTTAGACCTTTTAATATAGCCTTTTATTACTGGCATATGTTTGATTAACTCGGCTCCACATGGCTGTCTCCTGCTATGTCTCAGATGATTTGAAAATTCCACATGGATGTATTTGAATCCAGAGCTCGACTGATCGGTCGTATTTTTTGTCAAGATTTCTGAGATTTTATATAAAGCATTACATTTTAGACATACTGCGTATGTCTTTTCTTATCTTTTGACTCCTAACAATTTTCTTGCCATATGGGAACTTGTTAGGAAACCTTTAAATCATAACCGATCAGTTTCTAACAAAAATATCCTAAAAATCTAATAAGTATGTCAATAGCAGTATCTGAAAAGCGGAATCTTGATTGATACTTAAATATCTATAACACTGTCCATGAATTATCGAAATTAATGTTCATATTAGAATATCTATGTTTCAAATCAGAATCAAAATCATCAAAATCAGAGCAGTAAATTGTTCAAGCGGAATATCGTCTTCACTGTCTTCACTCAAAGTACAATTATCTTTCTCTGTAAAGGACTCTTCATCATTAATCAGAATTTCATAATCTTCCCTATCGTCCGATGGATCTGAAACAATTTCTGGATCATCATGATCAAGAATATTATATTTCTTCATGTAACATTTTTATTTATTTGATACATCGATTAAATTTTGATCCGTTAGAACGGTTGGAGTTAGTTCATCATCACTAGGTATATCTTCATACGAACTGTGATTTTATTCAACCAGTTTAATTACTTTTTTTCTTTTTAAAGCCAATACTGTTTCAGTTACAACAGAATTATTTTTAATGCTTCTTGAGGTTGAAGAATAACGCTGTTTGGAAGTAATGTATTAAAACCGTTCTATTTCTTGTTAATATCTGTCAAACGTTTTAGGATCTACCCATCTACTACTATGATAATGTAATGTACATTTGCATTCAACTAAATTTCTAGTTTTAGTATTGGTATAAATAGCTTTTGAACGATCCTTATTAATACGATGTTTCTTTGGTTTTGGCATTTTTTTGATAAAAATTCAATTTAGGAAGAAATAAATATTTATAATATTTAGCTATTTCCAATCAGTATATATATATATAGATTTTATTTGAATCAAGCATATAAATATCAGTAAAATACTTTATTTAAATCAATCAGTATATGATATCAATAAAATATATTCGCATAAAAATACTTTATTTAAATCAATCAGTATATGATATCAATAAAATGTCTTCGCATAAAAATACTTTATTTAAATCACTAAGTATATGATATTAATAAAATATGCTCACATGCGGCTAATGCTGATTTTATGATTGATTTCGAAAGCAAAATTTAATATATTAGTTTTGAATTTATTCCAGTTTTACTGCATTTTTTGTAAAATTATCATTTGCATAAAAAGCTTAAAGTTTATTTGAATCGTAAAATTTTATTATCCGTTAGAACAAAATTTTGCGATAAAATAAAAGTTCAAACGTTAACAATCGGTCAGATAGATTTATCAACCCATCCTATCTATTACTACCATAAGAAAATTTATTTTCAATGACTATTATTTTAACAATCGCAAACAAAATTTTCCGATTCAAAGAATTTATTACAATAATTAATAGTACTTTTATCAAAATTTCATTGAAAGTTTGCTTTCAATGACTACTAGTATTTTACAACCAACATGTCTGATTTATTGAAAGTTTGCTTCCAATGATTACTATACTTTTACAACTAAAATTTCTGATTTATTACTAATGTAAAGAAAGTTTATTCCAATGACTGTATTATTCTGTGGTTAAAAGTTTAATATTGATACTCTTTTGAAAACATATAAAAAGACCCTATGTTCTCTTTTTTTATTAAAAGTTTCTTTCAAACAAAAGAAAAATCTTCCAAAACATGTCTAAAAAAAAATCTAATAAACGTCTTTTATCTGATAAAGAGTCTTCTGATGAAGATAAACATAAAAGGATTTTATTGATTTTAGCAAATAAAAAAAAGGTGGTTATTTAAAGAAACCTATTTCAAAGAAACAATACGGAAGTAGCGAAAAACTGTATATTTAGTTATAAATCAATTATTTTTAATATTTTCTCTTCATTTATTACCATTTACTTTTAGTTTCTTCTATTTTCTTCTATTCTAGTGATTCTGAAAATGATTTTGAGAAGTTTCGTAAAGAAGAACTATATTGATCAAAACAAAAGAAAAAAAACAGTTTGATCGATATAGTTCAAGGAAAAGGAAAAGATAAAGAGATAGGAAAAAGAAAGAAGGAGAAAAAGAGAAAGAGAAAAAAAAATCAATCAATATGATTGTTTATTGTATAATACATATATTGTTAATTAGATCATAATACATATGGCTATTCTGATTATATTTTTAAATAATAGATGTTTTACAGGCCCAAGTAGATGAAATTAAAAGTTTGATGATGATCATTGCAAGAGGAAAACAAAAGGAAATAGACCCAAAAGATACAATAATTGATTGGACAAATGATGAAATAAATTTTTCTATATCAACCTCTCGATACGGGCAGCCTGACTCTTTGAAAAATATGGCCAAAAAGGCTTATTCGTCAAAGTCAGTTTATATCATAGATTCTGCTTCTAAATAATATGATAATAGAGGTAGAAGCCAGAAAAGAACATTTGATAATAGGCCTCAATTAAAAAAATCACGAACACGAAAAGACAACCCAAACTTAAAAGAAATCTTTTCAATCGGGGTCAGAAAAAGACCAACTGAAACTCATCATCATTTCAATCATCTCATTCTCCTCCTCCTGCTCCTTTCTTTTATACTTATCTCTTTTATGATGAAATGGATAAGGAATTAAGAAATGCGTTAAGGGTAATCTTTTCTTTATTTTCATTTGTTTTATATTTATCAATTTTTTTTTGCTAATAGTTAATGTATTTTTGTAATTAAGTCTAAAATATTAGGGATTATAAACAGACTACCAGAAAGTCAAAAATTAGACATGAATAAAACGTTTGAAAGCCAACGAAAATTGGTTAACCAAAAAATCATTCTAATAGTACAAAAATCGATCAATAAAAAAATGTTTCCAGTAGTGGATGGCATAATTAAATATATAATCCACGAATGCCACCGTCATCAACGGGAAGAATTTCTAAACCAAAAAAGAAGCGTCGAGTGGACCGACAATGATAAAAGGAAAAAGCATGCTAATTCGTGATGTATAGAGGTTAATATAGTATCATGTTATTTGTTTTTTAACCTTATCTAATTTTTTTTTGCCGTCTAGAAATGAGAAAGATGGGCTAGAACAATTAGCAAATTAATAAGATTGGATGATCAGTTATTGGAAAAATTTTATAACGACAAAATCCAACCAGTCCTCACTGATAATCGATATCATAATCCAGAGGTATCAGAAATCGACGATGAAAGTCCAAGCAAAAGATTGTCATTAGAGACATTAAGTAGCGATCTTTAACGGTAAGTAATGAATATTATTATATCATTGGTTCTAATCGGCATATATTAATTAATATTTTTTAATAGTTGTGTATCTTTTTATGAGATTACATAAATACTGAATTCAGCTAAGTTTCGAAGATACGCAGAATGAGAAAACGGGTGTATAATTATATCAAATTTGCACCAAACGAAGAAAAAGCACCTGTGAATGCTTCTGCTTAGACAAGAATAGGGTACAACAGATCATTAAAGTCATACATTGGAAGATTTAGTAATGTTAACTACTCTCCGATCTGTGAAGATATGAATAATATTGAAGAGAAGGATGATAGTCATAATGGAAACCATGCTGACAGTTTTGAGAAGGATAATTGGAATAGAGAAAGAAGAAGTAGAAGTTTAGTATCGACAGAATATAATAGTGATTATGAAAAGGACGACAATTAATCAATACAATATTTAAATTTTAAATTATTTTTTTTTTCAGCTTTTTTCAGTTTTTTTTTTTGTTTTTTATATTTTTTTTCTGCTATAAATAAATGAATAATAAATAAATTTATTGAATAAATTTTTTTGTAATTGAAAAATTTTATTTGATATTGTAATCAATTGGAAGATCGAAAGATATCAATTAGGAAATTAACAATTAAATAAATTTATAGCAATAGGTATATCCTATTAGTATCAAATTAGTGACTGATGGGAGCCTGATTTGTATGCCCTGATTTGAATTTGATTGTACTCCTTTGCCACCATTTTATGACAGCAATCAGATTTCTAAATAAAAAAAAATCAGATACCAATTGGTTATCATTCAGGTTACTGGATAATAACCAATTGGTACCTGATTTGTTATCATTCGACCTGTAATAGTTAAAAGATTTTATGGATTTTTAGCTATACTTTCAAGATGAGTATATTTTGTGATTATTTTCTGATTAGTTATAAATACAGATTTATTAAGAGTCATTATTTGAATATATTTCCAACTAGAACATCAGCTAAGAGCAATGTATACTTGATCAGAAAAGCAAATTTAATCATTTAAGTTGAGAGATATATCATATAAGGTAAATTCTTAAATTTTATGTATAGTTAGGTTATAGCAGTTTTGTATTAAGAATTGTTAATAACTAGTAGAGTTTTCATTGATAATGAAATAATTTATAATTGATTCAATTTCTAAATTAACAATTTTACTTGTTATGTTAGATGAGATTCAGATTAAGTTTACTTTAGAGTTAATATTGGTAATGACATCAATTATTCTATTACAGATGTCAAATTCTACTTTAGAGTTATTTAAATACATTACCTTTATATCTTGTTAAATTTAAATTGATATTAATAGATTTATCTTTGATTTAAATATTTTTTGGCCAGAATTATATCTTATCTTTCACTGTTTACAATATCTATAATGTTAAAAATAAAGAATATTCCTTTCATTTTTGAAAGGGTATTGCAGATTAACTAATTATTTTTTCAGCTATTTTATGATAATCTACAATATTTGTGATATTAAGTAAGAGATCTATCAGTTTATTAAGATCAAATTCTTGATATTTCTTTGTAGTTTATCCAGATATCATCTGTTATATTCTAAAGCGATATTTTGTAAAATATCAAAGAATTCAGAATATTCTTATTAACGGTAAGATTGGTATAAGAAAAAAAGATAAAATAGTCTCCATATTGATGATTTAAATACTTATGTATCTGTAATTAGTAGAAGTTGTATTAAATTACTGACTAAAATATTGATACCTCTAAATACTATACAGTCAACTCTTGATATATCGAACTTTTGATATAACAAATTTTTTGAATAAATATAATAAAAATACTCTTGTTATAGCAAATTAGCCAATTAAATCTCTTAAATTCTTCACTATAGCCTTATAGCGAAGTTGAAGTCTAGAACATAGAGTTTATTATAACAAGAGTTAACTGTATTATTATTAAGAATGGTAATGAATATATTTGATATAAATTCTAAGAATTGAGCTAATATCATGGGACTTCTTCTATTATTATGATGCTGATTTAATTTAGTTATTCTTTAAATTTATTATTATAGAATATTAAGGTATAAAAACCTAATTGAGTTGTTAATATTTTTAAAGCAGTATAAATAGTAATTTCTTTAATATTTTGAGTAGTAATACCTGTCAGAACTATTAAGAAGTAATTTGAATTTCTATTTTTTAATGAATTAATCAAAAGGTGAATAATATATGATTTTCCTATTCTTTCTAATCTAGTAATAAAAAAGTAAAGCAAATAATGTTTATTTTTTTATCTAAAAAAAATTTAAGATGAATATTGCATAATATTGATTAAGTAATAATTGATATATGATATTTACAGGAAATATTAGAGATAAAATTTTTAATAAATCTAATTGAACTTTTTTGGATTATAGTTATATTTTTCAAAATGATATTTTTTAGACTTAATAATAACTGATTTAAAATTTCAGAATATCTTATGTTCATAAATTATTTTATTTATTAGAAGTAGTTTTAGATGTTTTAATTAATTTCTTTAGTAATATTTGAAAAGGTGAATAAATGATTATCATAATATGTTAAGAAGTTTCCTTTCAGTTTTCTAATTTATCTTCACTTTATACTAGTATAATTTTTAATAGTAATTAATAAAAATATGTCTTTTTATTAGTTATAGTTTTAGAAAACGATATCTTATAATTATTGATTTAACTTTTTAGGATATAATTTTTAAATTGATCCTAATATATTTCTCTTTATGTATTTATTAGCCTATTTTTCTAGATAACATAATTTTTAAAGTATTTTAGATAGGTTACTTGATTAAAATTTTCATTTACAAGTTTATTCATATATTTTTTGATAGATCTTTAAAATAAGAATTATTATTTTCATTTATTAATAAATAGATAGGTTAAACTGCTTTTAACCTGTGATTTAAAAAATTTATACTAAGATATTTTACCTATATTGAGGAGTTGCAAATTATTTTATTAAATAATAAGAATATTGCTTTAATTATTCTTAATCTTCAGATAATTATATATTCTTTGAATTGGTTACTTTTTGCAATATTAAAGATGTAAAGAGTTCTGCTTTTATTATATATTTAGTAATATACTTGACAAATTCTCTAGATATTATATACTGTAAGTTTATATAGATGTTTTAAATCATTAAAGTTTTAGAATAATAAGGAATTATTTACTGATCTGAAGATATAATGCACTTGTATATATACTTGCAAAAATTTGGATTAAAATAAGTAGTATTTGAGAATGATCATAAAGCTTTTTACACTTATTACCAGAGGTAGTGAATCTACTATACTTAAAGGGATCATATCAATAAATTTGATAGGTCAATACTTTTTGATATAATTTGAGTTCTTATATTAGATCTAATAAAACTGAACATATTACATATTTTTCGATTATGTGATTAATAGATTTTGTGATTTAATAATATCCATTTATAAGTAGCTTCTCTTTTCTAAAATTTAATTTAATTAAAAAAGTCTGTAAATATATCTTAATCACTAATTTTTTTTATTTTTCTATATTTACTTTTTAATTGATCTAAATCAGTATATAATATAAGAGATACAGTGTAAAGGTTAGTTGGTTAAAATCATATTATTATTATCAGTTTGATATAATATATCATGAAGGTCTATCTATCTATTTTCTACTATTAATAAAGTGATGAAGATTGTGAAAAACTAAAATTTTATAATATTGAATTAAAGTGCAATTCTTTTTCATGAAAATAGAAATCTTCTATTTTGATAAAGATAGATATTAATGTGATTAAGATCTCATTAATTTGCATTACTTTTGAGTAATTACTTTATTATAATAGGTTAAATAAAGATAAAAGTTATTGTAATTCATCTATATTTTTTTTATATAATATATATTGAGTATTTTGATGATATCAGTTTTTCTAATTGAAAGTAAATATATAATAGTTAGTAATAGTCAAGTTTAAATCTCAAATTATTAAATAGTAGCATATATTTAGCATATTTTCTATTCTATTTTCATTTGATCGTATTTATTTTCTTATATTATAAAAGTAACCTTTACTATATAAAAATAGGTGAGTAAATAAGAACTGTTTAAGATTCAGGTTGTAAATGAAAATAAGCAATAAATAATCATTATTATTGCAGATAAATTCAACCATTAGTTATGAGTAATAAAAATTTTGTTATATACTTTGCTAGGTAGATTTACCGTCAGTACTATTATTAATTAGTGATACAATATAGAGGTTAAAACTGGTTGTAACAATTCAATTTTAAATTCAGGTTCAACCGATTTTGAATAAATCCAGTTCCAAATTTTAGAACGACGCAAAACTAGTTGCGATAAAAATTGAATGCAACCAGTTGGAAAATCTGGTTTTCGATTTGCCAAAAAAAATTTAAGGTTTTAATAAAAAAATCCATATTTAGTTTCTCGTACAGGCTTTCCTATACAATCATCCTTTCTTTTTGCACACTTTTTCTTTTTGCATGTTTTATTTCTCATTATGGTGAACCTATCAACTTCTTCAGTTATAATTTCTGATACAGAAACTGTTATAGAACTTACAACTACTGATACCACTAACACAAAAAGTAGTATAAAAAAATAAAGCGTAGAATCTTGTCCATCCTTAATTAGAACTAACCGCAGTCATACAGCATATTTCTTTCGAATAGAAAAAGAAAATCCTAATATTGCTTATTGCAAAATTTGTAAAATGAATTTTGCAAGTACAAATAAAACTGCATATAGCTATAACCGAAAAGGTGAAAATACTACTAATCTTATAACACATTTACGTGATAAACATAATATTACTAAAGAAAATTATTTGGAATTTTTGGATGACGAAGAGGTAATTTTTGACAATCGATATGCTTAAATAATATAAAAAATAATTTTTTAAGGAAGAATAGAATAATTAAATTTTTATTTATTATTATTAAATAGCCTCACAGAGATCAGCTTCAAATTACAAACTTTATAAGTGATTCAAATTCTTGTTCACCTAAACGATAAGAAATAATTATAAGAAAAGTTACAAAGTTTATTATCCAATATGTTCAGCCTCTATATATTCTTCAAAATAATACTTTTCGCGATCTTCTATTAATATGTGAACCAGGATTTAAGATTCCTTGTGACAAAACTATGAAAGGAATACTTCATTCATCATATACATAAAGCATAGATCAACTTCGTTCTCTATTAAGAAGTACTATGATAACAGTACATTTAACAACTGATCTTTGGACTGCAAAATCTCAACATAGTTATCTTAGTATAACTGCAGTTTGGTTAACTTCTGATTTTAAATTTCAAGAAGCTTTATTGACATGTAATTAACTTTCTTATCCTCATACTGGTGAAGTCATAAGTTATGAATTATTTCAAATTTTAAATG